TTTATATTTGACTTCCCATTGAAACTGAACCAATTGCTTTGTTTATATTCTGAAAAATACCTAACACTCAATGCAAACTCTGGAATCACATGATGAAGGATTCACGTTATTCCTGGATCAAGGATTCCTGGCAATTGACTCCATGACAGAAAGCAGAAAATAAAATGAAGTACTTCTTCCCTCTGACTTCCTTGCGATTAGCCCACTACTTATGGATCTGCATCTCTAACAGCTGCATGTGTGCTGTAATTACAATGACCAAGAAACAAAGAACTTGAGCAATATGCTGACTTGCTATAGCTACAGAGTGAGCCAACTGAAGATCGAATCTTTTCTGAAGAACTGAGTAACTCTAACTTTGATTGGATGCACTGATAGCTATTTCTTAGTCTAAACATACTCCCTAGACAGAAATAGCAGGTTCTCCAGAAAGTGACACGTGTTCTTTAAACAACAGCAAACTGAAAATCAAAGGGGGATTGACATTTATCATATTGACCTTCGTGTAACAAAGCCAAGTAGAGATTTAACCATCAAATAGGTAAAGAGATTCATGAAGATACTCAAGCTACTTTCCCTTGCCAGGTGGCCACTTTATCCAGCCTGGCCATCTCCACTGGTGATGGAAGCAACCCAATAAGTACCAGCACTTACATTATGGCCGTAGGGGGGAGAAAAAGTTTTATTTTGCACACCTTATACAGAGATACAGGTCACGTGTTAAAGAACTATAGGCCTGAAAATAAGTATGGGTTCATAAACTGTTGTGTTCCCTACAGACTGTATGAAATGATTAAAGTCTCATTCACTAGTTTTTATATAATCCAACTGCCTTCAATTCAAAAACACAAAGGAAACCTGCTAAGATCTACAGCTTTCTCCAAAGTTGTACAACTTTCTCTAGATCAAAGGAAACTCAAAAAAAGAAAAAAATTCAGAAGAATCAAGAAAAGTCAAAACAGACCAAAGATGAGATTAATTGTGCTTGAATTCATTTTTTTTTCCCAGAAGAAACTGCAACCCCCTTTATCAGATGAATTTACTGATATAGGTCAAGGGTCAACACAGCTTGCAGAAAGAAATAAATACAAAAACTGACTTCCTATCTCTAAAAATCTGTTTTTCCTGTTTCTAACATGACATATTGTGCAATTCTGATAAAAAAAAATCATGAAACAGAAATGTGAAACCCTTGTTCCAACACAAGCTAGTCACTGGCCAAATAAAGGTGAGATTCTTCTTTAATACTGCAGGATTTCATTATCAGTTACATGAATTTAGTAGCTGGCATCTGGTGGCTACCTTCTTGGGAATCCTGAATAATGCACGATCCACAGGAAAGGTTTGCTCACAATATGGAAAGGCCACATGAACATGGAGAGCATTTATAAACTTAGGATAGCTTGAACTTTCCCGTGGGAAGCATCACCTGACAGGACTCCGACATTTAAAACCTGATCTGAGAGCTAAGAGCTCCCCCATAAAGATGACGCAAACGCCCTAATGCACAGCACATTAAGCCCTAATGAAACAACACAGTCCGTGTTTAACAACGCAGGTTTCCCGTCAATGATGGTTTAAATATAAGCATAATAAAGCAGATTAAAAAGAAAAAAGCTGTAATTACTTTTTGAAGAACTCAATCTCTTGTCCTATTATTGGTCTATACATGAGCCTCAAAGGCTGAATACATGTAGTAAAACTTACAGGAAGGAAGACCTCACCAATCGGGCCACCTCCATTATTTAAAAAAAAATCGTAAGTACAATCATTGGTAAAACATGAAAGTAAAATTGAAAAAAATTTGAGAAATTAACAACCTGTTTGTGATTTATTTTCTAGCTATGCTTGCTCATTTTTCTGTTTTTCTTAATAAAAGATTCCACAGCTATGCTTTCTAGGCTGAGTATAATACCCTCCACAATTGGGGCTGGCTGGGAGATATGGGAGGAAGAATTCTAAATTCAAAAGACTGAGAAAACAAGTCCTGGTTTTAGAAAGGCTTTTTAGAGTAACACCCAATAACCAGCTGCAGCTCTATCTATTGTGCAATTCAAAGAAATAGGTTGACACTTTATTTTCTTTCTTTTCTCATCCATTCGTAGTTCTTTACCTTTCTTTTTTGTAATAAAATTTACACAGAAGGGGATCTTGTCAGGACCGATATATGCAGACATCAATCAACCTTTAAACTGCCTCTTAAAACTGGAAATCTAAAAATTTCTTCAAATTCTTCTTTTCCAATTGGATATATCATGTTTGCATTAATCCTCCATGTCAAACCAAAATACAGATCAAAGTCACAATGTTCTTAAGTCCTTAAAAAAAAGAGGGGGGGTGCTCCTTCCCCTCTCCTCCCAACCCCTGCCTAAAATGTCATAAATCTATCATTAACCACCAACTGTCCTGCATGTTCTTTTTTAAAAGCCTGGTTCACTTGAAAAAGATTAATGAATTGCTCATCTATTACTTCAATTAACTTATAGTTATATAAATAATTCCTGAAACTGATGATCGTTTGTCTGAAATACCCTTATTTATCAACATCTTTTATCAGATTCCACGCAAGCCATTAACTTGCTATGAATTTCTGACACAACTGCATCAAAGAATTTATTCAGGAACTGCAATTTTTCTCCCCCAGCTCTTAGTCTCCACATAGCTCAAGTGGCAGGGGAAGAGCTGCTCAAAGAGCTGTGCATTTCAGTCACACAAACAAGTGTGGCTGCAAGAGGGGAGTTCAGATGTGCTTTTTATTCGGTTACACGTCGGGAGCTTCTCCCTATCATTTTAACATAAAAATAATAGTGACTTATATTCAGCAATGTTTCTGGATCAACATCTGATAGACGCGCAAAATAGTCAAGATTAGCATTTGGCCTAAGGAGTATTTGTGCTCTCTCCGAAAGTGGAAGGAAGTTAACCAGCTTTAGACTCGTTTCTAAATACAATTGTTTCTTTGAACTAATCACCCACTTTTCCCACAGATTGCTTTTTTCCTATTTTTAGCTCTATGATTTCTCTTTGGGAAAAAAAAAAAAGAACGGATCTGAAGATGATCTTCCGTCCTTTTTCTTACCATTTTTTTTCGTCTTTACTATGTGCACTTGCAAGGATTTAGTGGACAACATCGCCAAGGATCAGCTGTTTTATTTCTAGTTCTATTAGTTCAAACTCAGATAGCTCACACATCTGTTTTATTTCTCAAATCACTGCCCAGGAAAAGTGTCCAGCTCGTTCTACCCCAACATAAACTTTACTATAAATAACTAAGAACCTAACAAATAACTGTTTGGGGGAAACGGTGCTGTGTTTAAAAAATCTGAATTCTTCCCAACTCTAGGCCTTGGTAATCTTGGTTTTAGAGCTCTCCTGACAGCCCACATCAGCTTCCCTCAGAAGTCGTCCCCAGAGTGAACAAACTGAAACTCTTGCCGGAAATCCAGGTATTAACATCATATTACTTGCTAATTATAAAACACCATTTCACATACTGACATTATTCACTTCTAAACCTTTTATCTAAAACACGTATTTGCTTTCCAATCAGAGTTTGACAGCAGAGTGAATCTGACATAAGACAGAGAAATGATCTTTAATAAGACAGCAGTTCAAAGCATGTAGCTTTCATGCATAATAACTATGTTGGCTTAATTTGCTGCTCCACAGAAATAATTCTATTTGTGGAAAGTCACAAAGTAAGATGGAATTTTTAAGAGCGCTCCACAAAGATGAAATCGGCTTTTTAAGAGTTCTTCTTTGTATCTCTCTTAAAGCGGTAAGATTGCCATTCTGACATAGAAAGGACTTTAAAAATTTCTCTCCAGATTCTTTTGCTAAATGCCTTTACTACCTGTTATTTATAACCCATTTGCCTGCCTTTCTTAATTGGCACTAGGTCAACAGAGAGATGCAGAACAAATGTTCTGTGCCTATTGAGTTGCTAAAAATGACTTATATTTTAAGCAATTTAGTGGGTCAAATAAGTGTGATGTGATTTCATTAGTTCCCTCGTACTTCTAATCACTCCTAAAGAAAGCTAATGTTGAACTTAATATGTTTTGAAATCCTCTTGCCTCATAGATACAATAAAAACTTATGAACTGTAACAGAAAAGAAAAAGAAATACTTTCTCAAACTGACTGTGAGTTTCAACTGTGCTAAAATGAAATAAATTATTTTTTTACACTCAATTCTACATTTCACTCTACCTGAAATGTTATTTATTGTTGCTTTAAATTCACGTGTCATACACTAAAGACCAAAAAGTAGATGAAAAATGGATTTCAGTCTTAATAAAAGTAGAAATCTCAATTAATACTAAATGCTGTCATGCCCCATTACTACTTCCCTGAAACTCAGAAAAAGATGTTTGCTTGGCACACATACCAAGGTTATTCTAATGCCCTTAATACTTACAATCACATGAACTTCTTTTGAATCAACGTAAAATCATATTTCCACCGTTTCATAATTATACTGTCCTTTCAGAAGTGTATCTCGGATGATCATTATGACCCGAATCTTATCCATTCTAACATCCAACTGAGTATGAAATCAAATCCTTACCCAAGATTCATGAAAAACCCTCCATGAAGAAAAACTGTATCAAAAGCTTTATAATCTAAAATGAGTCAAAGCATAAAGACTTATAATGTAAAATAATCAAGATTGCTATCATTTTCGAGAGACTGGGAGAAAATCAGTTTACCCTGAAATAGGTCCAGAAGTATTAATTCAAACTAATTCCACAAAAGACCCTCCCCAACTTAAGAGAAATAGAGAAATAATGGGGTTATTTTCCCTGATGAGAGGCTACATAAAGATTGGCTCTGAATGCACATTTGGGAGAGAGAGGCTTGGTGGGTTACCAGCTCTTTTGCTTAGCAGGCTACCACTTCGTTATTGGGAATTTTATTTTAACTCGTGTGCTAAAAATTCCCCTTTCTTTACAAGCACCATTTTCTGTGCAAAGAAACCATTACAATACAGACACAAACCTGTACATCGTAGGTCCCATTTAGTAAAACAGGCCTTGAAGAATTGATGTCCTGCAACACACCAGAAAGCACAGAACGGTTCACCTTCTGGAAGTCTTTGGAATGGCTGAACTGCACCATGTTATGAAGGGCCAAGATTTTGCTGTCCAGTTCAGCATCCTGCCTGGTGCGGTTATGCAGTCCTAAGTGATACTTTCGGAAGTGCTTGATCAGATCTGTGGGGTCGTTGCCATAGTAACCATATCCACAGATATTGCATTTAAAGTCCTGAAGCTCTGGAGACAGAGGTGCCGGGTCTGGGTTGTCATTGACCAGTACGTCGGTTTTGGATTTATTCAGTCTTACACCCCCATCTGAAGGCACTTGTGGGTTTTTTGAGGCCACTGAAATGGGGCTGGAGCCTTGACAATTGGCTTGACCACTCTGCACTTGCCCTGTTTCCTCGGTAGCTTTTGGTGACATCTTCTGATCTTCCTTTGTCTCCAACGAGTCCCCGGATGGGGTACAGGCCATATCTTGAGGGTCATCTGTCTCTGCTCTTTGAGGAGACTTCAAGGGCTCACAGACTCCCCCAGCAGCTGGAGATGAGAAAGCCAACATATTTCTCTCTGTCACCTCATCATGTGGGAAGGAGGGAAGGTTTCCGCCCTTACTGGGGCTTTCATAATTGAAGCCAGCCTTCTCACTCAGGACAGAGCTTTTTAAGTCCTTCTTACTGCTTGACGATGGATCTTGGCCATGCAAGCTATGTTCCTCCTTATTATTTAGCTCTGCAGCATCACTCTGATCCGTATTTTCTGACATCTGATCTGCAGGAAATTCTTTGTTCTTTCCAGATACCTTGCTTTCTGTACCTAGAGGCTCCAGGGTCTGGCCCTCGCCTTCACTAGCAACGTTTCTCAGAGGGGGGTTCTTTTTCCGGACCATATCTGCAAAAACACAAGGCACAGGAAGATACAGGGTTATTTAAAGATTGCAGACATGTCATGGAATCTAGAACATTTTACTTATTCTATTCAAGGATTTTTAAGGTACATTAAAAACTTCCTCTGTGGGGAGGGAAACTGCATTTTAAAAATAGCAGGGAGTTGAAACTAAAGCAAACAATTACATTTAGAATTAGTGATGTCATAGAGCACCATCATTTTCAAGCAGTTTTATGAGCACTGAGGGATTCACTATTACTAGTTCTATCCTCTGTATTAGTTAGTCTTTGCTGCCAAGTATAATATTTTCTTCAATGTCTTTTTCAATTATTGTGCATATGTATACCTGCTTATATACTCAGCTTGCTGCTAATGTTATGTAATGTTCATATAAATAGATATAGATATGTGTCTAAAATGTGCATCACATGCTCATCTACACAATATATACATAGGTATAAAAATGATATAAGTTAGAAATCAATATTGTTATACACTACAACTAAGACATAAACATTGTTCCAAATATACAATCTCATAATCAGAAACACAAAAATAGCATGTTTTTAATGGAGTAGAAACTGCCCCAACATTTTCAGAAATGGACAAGACAAACGTTTATTTTCTGTTCTACAGACATATTTCTTGAAGCCCCAGGTAATGGCTTCACTGTAAGTTTGGAAGAGGACCTGGAACACCTCATGGTGACTGAGATCAAGAGTTTCTAGGACTCCATCCATCATGGTGGTGAATGTAAGCTCTGGTTTCTACCGGACAACCTGGTAGAAATAGCACCAATTTCACTGTAGGGGAACAGATAGGAAGTTGACTAAAGTGTACCATTATATTGAATCCACATGATATCATCATTTTGTAGCTCAAATTGGCAAAACATTAGCCATTTCCTACTGTTCACCTTTCTATGATACTTCAACTGAGATTCTGAGGTGACATCAGCGTTCAAAAAGGGAGATTGTGAAAAATTCTTCCACTATAGACTAATGAGTCAGAACTCTAAGGCTATGAAGAGATAAGGAACCAGTGGTGGGGGATGGAGAGATAGTCCAGCGAGTAAGGAACTTGCCTGGTATGGGTGCTAACCTGGGTTCAATCCCCGGCACCATTTTCTGGTTACCCCAGAAATTATTCTCAAATACAGAGTCAGGAGTATTTGAGAATAGCCCAGAGCACCAATAGGTATGCACCTCCTCCCCAAACATGAAACTACTGATTTCATGTCAATAAAATAATTCATTTACAAAGGCTAGTGAAGAACTGAATTTCCGAGACTTTTGCTATTTAATCTTCCAGTCGAAAAACTTCGTAAGTGCTATATAAGTGGTCACTCCAAACATCTCATGAAAAAATATCTGCCTGCAACTAAGAAAACAAGCCTCCTTTACTCTGCCTCAGAAAGACTGAACCAAGTGAGTTCCACCACAATTATCCAAAATGTCATGAGAAATCCAAGTAAATAACCTGCATTAGTCATCTTTTCATCTATGATTTTTTTTCACAAGTGTTGGAACCACACTGACTTTGGATATATGGGTGGACCGTCGTTGTGGAAATCCGATCAGGCAAAATTTTTACAATGTGAATCACTGAACTAAGATGATATACTAGTTTAGCACACAAGGAATCATTTACAAGCTGAAAATTCACAGCACTGAATTTTGTCTTAAATGGTCTATCTGTACTGAAGAAAGTCCACTGTGTTCATTACATAACAATCATATTAGCCAATAATTTCTATCTATCAAACTCCTCTCTTGCAATAACATCCACAAGAACCCAAATGGGATGAAGGACACCAGGGTCAAGAGAAAATGATGAGCACAGGACAATGTCAACCTGCCCAGCTGCTAGAGCAAGAAGGAAAATGGCCTTATCTTGGAGATACTAACTACCAAAGCCCCTAAATTTAAACTTAGGAATCACCATTTAAGAATTAACCTCAAGGGGACTATTATTTTAATGTTTGCATCTCTGCCTTATGGTTGATGTCAACCTTTTAGAAGAGCTCTAGTTCTCTGTTAAGAGTGACATAACTTGGAAGCTTGTACCAACACACAGACGACTAAAAGTTAATCCTACTAGTATATGGCTAGGAAAAAGAAAGAACTAGAACAAAATAAAAAAACAAAAGAGAAGCTGAACAGATCAGTTACCATTTTAAATATGAATTATACTAAAATTAGCACTGTTTTAACCTGGCCTATAAACTAGAATATTCTACTTTCTACATTCTACAAGAACACTCAATTAAGTAAAGTGTCTTCTTTAGTAACTACTATCACATAATCTTTCACTGGACAAATCCTGAATAATGATATCGTTTGTACTTTAATATTTTCTCCTTACAATTTAATAATGACACACAAACATACAATATGGTTACAATAAAGATAAAACTATATATGCAAGGTTTGATTTCTGAAGAAATGAGAGTGAAATAATTGAATTAACTCGAATTATCCTACTATTAAGATAAAAACAAAATTTTCTGCACCAATGTATTAATGCCAAGGTGGCTGGCAATGTTTTACATAGCAGTGGTGCTGAGATAAAATAAAGTAAATGTAGACAGCTATAAATTTTCATAATAAAAATATGAAATTCGAAACAAAAAAGGATCTTGCTAATTCATCATTTTCAGGAAGAAAAGTAATAGGTCATAGTGTTAAAACTATTCAACCAACTTTCGCAGAGATTGAGAGATAATACATTAATTAAATTAGCATCTTTCCAAAACCCAGTTCCTTCTTTCACTCAAGAACAGATCTCAAGAACTATATGACTCACTGACTCTTTATGCTGAATAAAGCCCTTAATAATATACATTGCAAAGAATGCTAAACTTCTAAAACTTCAAAGAAGAATCAGAAAGGTCATTTGGGTTTTATTTTTATTGTAGGGGGAAGAGACATGTTCTTTTTAGTTGCTTTTTGAAAAAAAATCATGGGTAATTTAGTTGACTATACTTTGAAGTAGTTAAAGAAAAAATAATTTTACTGGAATTATATCATCGTAATTTTTCAGAATGACATATTATGTAAATATAAGCACATATGCACTACTTCTAAGTTAAAGAAACTCCCCTAACAAGTCATAAGTTAGATATTATAAGACTATAGCCACCCTCAAATTATTATCTTTAAGACAAATAACAGATTGCATGATGTTTTCCTGTGTGCCAAGAACTTTCCCAGTTAACATTTTCACTTGAAAAAATAGATCACATACTTGTAAAATCATACCCAGCATTGACTTCATAAGGCATGTGGCTTTAGAGTGCTTTTTACAATTATTAATTCTATTAGTCAACTAGCAGGAGGCTAATGCAATTGTCTTAGGAGATGCTCGGAAGACACAGAAGACATTTTGAGAGCTGATCTGTACATCTGCAAAACAAAACAAAAAATATTTTCCTTCCTAAATGATGTAAACACACCTTAAGGGATCATACCTACAGTACATGACTATCCAGCACTGTGGCATGCTTGACAGAAACATGATAAAAGTGTGAACAGACCATGAGCAAGATTTTCTCCCACTCGTTATGAAGCAGCAGAAGAGGGAAGAACACGATAGTGAAGATTATCTAAGTCTTTTTTTAATGACAGACTTGGTGTAACTATTTAATTTCCAATATCCCTTAACCCTTAAAAAACTGTAATATTTATACACACTGGATGGGGAAATGCTCTTGATGGGACAGGATCTGGAAAAAGATCCAAAACACAATAGCTCAGAATGCCCATCCATAGGTAAGACAAGAAGAGGCACCCATGGGCAGTCTCTTTAATATAGTGCCTCAGTGTGCTGAGCAAAACCCACTGCTATGCCCTCAAGAGTTTTCCATCAGACCTACAGAAGCCTTGCCAACAGTTTATAGAACTCTGCAATACTATAGCATGTGCTACCTTGCAGCTAATACCAGTACTTTCCTATTTTTAAAAGCTTGCTAAAGAAGCTTGCAAAATTGTGATTAAACCAAAATTAAGCCACCATTATAGCAACTTTTAAAACATTATCTCTGAAGGAAATAAAGGTGAATAATGCATTGGCAGTCCTAATAGAAATGAGGTTATATTTAATCCACTACATTATTTATACATTTAAAAACATCAATAACCCTTAGGAATTAATTTGGGCAACTCTATTTTAAACTTTTTTCTACTATATAGCAATATTCCTCATGCTGACCACAAGAAAAAATGTTCCCAATTCAGTTACAGGTATGTCCAAGATGAACAACCATTTTTATTTTTATTTTATTTTGTGGGTGAGGATGAGTAAAATGCATTTCTTTTGAGATGCTGTTAAGGATCATTTCTTGCACTGCATAAACAACCATTTTAGGTAAGTGAGCTCTAAGGAATTGGACAAAACGGAGATTCAGAATCTAAACAAGAGTAACAAGCTCCAAATTTTTAACTTCAATCCTTTACTTGTGAGAAAACAAAAACTGAACTAGAGGTGAAGGGGTAGATACTAGGGAGCCACACTTCTTCCATGCAGAGCTCTAGCTCTACAAATATACATATGCTCCTTCTTCAGCGGATATAGCAATATGAATGCCTATTCTCTGCCAAGATATTTAATCAGGTTAAAATATATTTAGCTTCCTACAAATGGTCTCTTTGTATTAGTTTTCATTATTGAAATATAAGACACTTCTCATCTGTAAAATTCTACATTTCTACTCTTTAATCATTTCCATCTAAATTAAAAATTGAATCTGAAAGATTCAAAAATCTGATAGGTCTTAAAATTTAATTCTACTACCTGCTTTGCCTCAATGATTATCACACTTAAGAATAAAAAAAAATTTATACATTAGACAGTAACTCATTCTCAGAATGGCACCTTTACAGAAAAAGAAATGAGTATCATATTAGCCTGATTTTGTAAACTACCATTTAGTTTATTTTCATATACATGCATATAGACATACAGACACATGTATATGCATATATACATATATAATACATATATAA